CCCCTCCGTGTCCTCCAGATCTTCCTCTGCATTCATGAATGACTGGGACCCAGGTAATGAAGGAGAAGACACATTTTTATATGCTCAAATACCATGTGTTTACACAAACTACCCCTTAGCAGCAGTGGTCTAGATGGGCCTGAGAGAGTACATGAGTGGGCCTAGTTTTATCTTTACAATTTTTATTCCCTCCAAGTCTCCTTCCTCTTCCTGTGAGATCAATGAGATATTTTAGGGGCAAAGTAAAATAGAAATGTTTTCTTTTAAAATAGAAATGAATAAAGTAAAAAAATGGAATTGAGTAAGTCTCTTTTCTCACTTTTGCTTTGTTCTTCAAGCAAGGTAACTTTCAATAGAAGAGGAGCCGTGCTTTGAGAAGAGCATTCATTAATCAGGTCATCTCAAAGTCTAGCCCACACACCACCGAGTCAAAATCATCAGGGGAGCTTATCAGAAATACAGATTCCTGTGCCTCCCTCCAGAAATACTGAATCAGAGCTTGAGGCGTAGGGCCCAGGAATCTGCATATAGTCTATGAACATAAGTATAATCACAGAGCATTTTAAGAACGTTTCCTATGCTATGTTAAATCAACTCAGTTAATCTCTTGCTTATTTACAATGCTGAATCATCAAAATGGAAAATTAAGGACATTCTGTTTTGACAAAGGCTTCCTTGGAAGTAGACCTGTAAAACCTGCTCCGGCAGATGGAAACACCCACAGTGACTCACGTAACTATCATTTAAGACAGAAATCCTGGCATGGTTTTAAAGATTCTATTCTGACTGATGAATGACAAGTAAGGCAAACTGCCTTCTCATGTCAATGACTATTTTGTTGTAAAATAATGAGATGGATCCTACCAGATCTGAGCAAGGTCCTCCCAGGCCAATAATCTGTCCTAAAAGGGGACCGATTGTAATGAAGACTTAGGACATGGCAATTCCCCATGACATATATTTCAAAAACTTGTACCCTAAGTACCTTTGGTCTCACTTAATTACCCAGAATGAGCCTCATATCTACAATTACCCAACTCTTTTGGGAAGTATTTACATTTTTATATTGTATCATGGTCTATACCAGTGATGGCGAACCTATGACACGCGTGTCAGAGGTGACACATGAACTCATTTTTTTTGGTTGATTTTTCTTTGTTAAATGGCATTTAAATATATAAAATAAATATCAAAAATATAAGTCTTTGTTTTACTATGGTTGCAAATATCAAAAAATTTCTATATGTGACACGGCACCAGAGTTAAGTTAGGGTTTTTCAAAATGCTGACACGCCGAGCTCAAAAGGTTCGCCATCACTGGTCTATACTAAACCATATTTACCAACCCTAATGGAAAATGTTGACTTTTAAAACTTGTCCTAAAGCTACTTTGTCTATGATTCAACAGCTGGTTCTCAGTTCTTCAAAGGCAGACTGTCCATCTTGATCTATTCTGAAGACATTATTACTTTATGCACTTTAAATTTTATTGCCTTTCCTAATTGTGTGTGTGTGTGTGTGTGTGTGTG